TCCTTTGGCGGTCCTTTGGCGGTCCTTTGGCGGTCCTTTGGCGGTCCTTTGGCGGTCCTTTGGCGGTCCTTTGGCGGTCCTTTGGCGGTCCTTTAGTTGCCTAGGTTTCGATCTTACTTGGCCCCACATATGGCACTGATGCCTTCTCCATTTTCTAAATTTAGCAACTCAAAAGATTGATAATTTAATAAAATTCTTCACCAGGTTTGAAGAAATCTCCCAGCCGAGCTTCCTCTCACATCATGGACATCAAAGAAGAAAAGAAAAAGAAAACAGTAAGTTTACGACCTACATTTACTGATGACAACTGACAATGGCAAACAACAAATGACCATCCATGGCTAAACGTTTTTTTTACCGCCTTTGTCAAAAGTTCCTAACTCTCCGTTTCTACTTTATGTTGTCGTCGCCATGTTGAGGATAATTAATAAAAGATGTCACATTACATTAGCTTTCGTTGTTGATACCACCAACATGGCCGCATTTCTTTGCTTTGGGAATGATTCCACGCCATCGATACTATATTATTCGAACAAATGCGCAATGCGCAAATATAATCATTAAATTATTATTCATTATTATTCCAGGAAGAAGTCGTGGAGGAGGATATTGACTGGTGGTCGAAATTCTACGCATCTATTGGTGAAATGGACAAAGCTGGTCAGTACTTGGAAAGAGGTTACGACAAAATCATGGTAAGAATTTGTACGAGTCATATTTTAGGAACATTGTAGAAAACACAATCTCAATCTCTCTTTAAATTTAACGCCACCTTTTATTTTTTTAAACATAAATTTGGTTTAAGACTGGAACATACTTTTTTTAGCATTAGCAGATTTTAATTAATGAACAAATGGTCATTTTCAAAATACCGTAAAATTAGCTGTTAAAGTTTGTTCAAAACATGATTTCTCATTCCCGATTTTTTTCTTCTTTCTTGACGTGAAATGTACTGTTATACCTTTTCAGGTTTATCCAACTGAATTAGAAAAAGTGGAACCATTCGATGGGTTTCAAGATTTCATGGAAACGTTTCACATTCACCGTGGAAAAACTGCAGCCAAATCCGAAGAAGAAGAAACTATCGTCGGAGAGTTCAAGGTACGAAAAATGTGGCCCGGTTTCTCCACCTTTAAATTTTTTTGGTTTTTCCAGACTTTGTACCTTTTCTACACAGTCTTTGAAGCTTTTGATTGGCGTCTACAGCAAACTGATTTCATCTTCATGGAAAAGAAAGCTTCCTTGGCCTATAGTCTTAATTAATTCTTATTCATCTTTTTCAGGGTACATTCAGGGTATATCCTATGCCAAGTGATCCAAGTGTTCCACTTCCGCCCCGACATCTCTCCAACTTGCCTCCAAGCGAACCAGTGGAATGCACCATACGTGTCTACATAATACGGGTAAATACAAGCAGTGCTGTGATCAAAATCATTCAGGGAAATCGCTGATTTACATCCGATGCCTCATAAATCATTCTTACGCATCAAACATGGCTATACCCATGGGAAAAAAACAGACAACTTATACCCGCGTAACTTATACCAATTCGTATGTCTGCTGATATTAAATTATGATACAAGTAAAATCGTATTCTCACAAAGGAGGAACTTTAGGATCAGTTTAGAGATGATGATATTAAGAGGATAGCGAATTGCTTTAACCTAACATTGACATGTACCATATATTGTAAAATATGACCTCATCAAATGGCGCAAAATCACCCAAGAAGAAAATTCCCTTGAACTGCACGTTTGAATTGTGTRAATTATTTTCAATAAATTATTAATATTATTCTATTTCCAGGCCATTGATTTACAGCCTCAAGATGCCAATGGATTGGCTGACCCATATTTGGTAGTGTCTTTAGGAAAGACTAAAATGAAGGACAGGGACAATTACTGCCCGAATAACCTCAACCCATTCTTTGGAAAGTAAGTATAACCATCTCTAGACTTATCATCACTTTTGAGTGAGGTTTGTTCGGCCTCCTGTTTAAAATTCTATCTGTGCTCGGATTTCCTCCCTCAGTAAACATCAACATACATGTATCAGTGGATGGAAATGGTACCAAATATCCCGATATTACTGGATGAAAATAGTACTTATTATCCCACGTCCAATAATACTACCCCGATATTACTTGATTGATATGGATGGAAATACACCAAATATCCCGATAGTTATGGATGGAAATGGTACCAAATATCCTGATATAACTGGATGGAAATGGTACCAACTATCCTGATAATATTATTGGATGGAAATGGTACCAAATATC